TATTATTGCATATAATCTAGATTATATTGCAAGTATAGATTTAATAATATAATTAATATAATTAATAAAAATAATAATATATAGATATAATGATTATTTGATATAATATTATTTGATTTAATTAATTAAAAGTAAAAAATAAGTTAAAATTGAAACAGCTAATTCTCAATTTCTGACTATCATGTTCTCATTCTTTTCGAGGTCAACATTAAAGTGTAAAAGTATACAGACATTATGAAAGTGATCGTTGATTCATCAAAAACTGGAGGCAATCATTATGAATACAATTTAATTGTTTCTGAGAAAGATAAAACGATGCAGAAAGAAATTATTTATAATTTTTAAAATATTTTAACATGACATTTTCTTCATGACATTCATCTGTGACATTTAAAAGGTATAGTTCGTTCATTACAATACAGTAAAATTAGTATTATATCGTTCTTTCATTTCATAGAATTATATAGAATAAAAAATATTTATTTTTAACTTTTGACTTTTCATTTTTTAAAATATTGATATATAATAAAAATTAAATATTAAAATATTTTAAAAAAATATCACTTTTTTATTATAATTATTTTCAAAAATAATTATAATAATTAATTATTTATGAATGAAAAATATTATTAACTAATTTATTAAAATTTAAATGGTATATTAAGCTTTTTAAATAGCAAATATCATATCAATCAATTATATAATTCTTTAATTATTTTAAATCCATTTGTATAATTATAGATATTTATAATTTTAACTTTTTCATTATTATCATTATTTAGAAAATTAAAAACTATCTCTTATGCAATTAAAAAAAAATTATATGATATTTAATATTGAAATCTAGCATTATCAAATAAATTTTATAATAATTAAATTTAATAGTGATATCCAAAATATGCAATACTATTATTATATCAGAAAAATAGTATAAGTAAAATATCTAATATAAATAATATACTCATGTGCATACCTAAAAGAAGACGCAAGACATTATGCGTGGGTTTCACCTTTTATTCTCTGTTTTCACTGCCGAAACAAATCTCGATACGTTTTAGCATTTCAACATCGAATGCAATAAAAATATAAATTTGTCTATATCGATTATATTAACATGAATTGAAACTTACCCATGTTGATAAATGTACTTTGCACGGGCAAAAACACCTGTTGATCCACGCGAGGCAACGTCTCTTCGTTGACTGAGATTGCGGCAGATTTGCGCTCCCCGCAGGCTCTGTATGTGCCGTTATGTTGTACAGAATATATCAAAATATCAGAGTAACAATATTCCAATCTTATAAAATTAACTTAATTTTATAATTGAATATAATGAGTATAGTAAAAAGAATAAAAAGAATAAGATATTTTGAATGAAATATATCCAGAAAAGGCTTATCGTAAGAAAAATAATAATAGATATGATATATAATTATATTTATTATATATATTTAAAATATAAAAATCAATGACAAATAAAATATTTATTAACAAGTTTTATTGTTAAAATTAATTTTGTAAAAAATATATAGATACATTATATAATATTTAAAAAAAATCTAGAAATATAAAAAAAAAGTATAAAAATATTAAATTAAAAATAGAAATATTAAATATTTTATATATGTAATTATATGTGTATTCATGTTGTAATTGTCATTGATTGTAGTCATTGATTGTAAATTTAGGAGAATTTAAAAAAATAAAGTAGGTGTCAAGTGGATAGCTTGTCCTTTCTATATTTGATAGTATCATCAATTTATAATAAATATTGTTTTCAAAAGGTTGTCTTCTAATTAGGAATATACAAACAGTTAGTTACACGTTTTATTTTTTACTACATATTTTATTTCTTTATTTTTATATAATATTTACTTTTTACATAAAATATATATATTTTTTTTATATTTAATTTGCAAAAAATACGAGAGATATGAAAGTAAATATGGTTAATTTAAAAAATAATCTTGTGAAACTTCTTTGGAAGAGGAACTTAAAATATTATAAATATATTAGAAAAACTATATATTAGCAGCCTGAAATAAAAATGAATTCATTAAATAGATTTCATATATATATATATATATATATATATATATATATATATATA